TTTTGAAATTTACCAAAAGACTTGTGAGTTTTTTTAAAATTTTATCCACTCACATAATTCACATTGGAACCTCTAAGGAAGAGTGCATCTCTTGCACGATTTTTTGCTTCAATCTGTATGTGAGTTTGAAATTCTTCAATAGTGAAAGTATCTGTTGAATTTAGAACTTTTTTCCATATCCATTCCATGAAAAAAGAAGTTTTGATAAAATAGCTCCAACTTGAAGTGAATCAGGAACCTTAACTTAACTTAGAGACCAAAATTTGTAACTCATGCACTTGGTCCATGATTGGTTTATCATCAGTTATTGAAAATTCAAAGTATTTCAAAGCCAAAAACTTATCCGTACTTTTTTTTCGTTCATGTATTTGTGCTCAAGAGCCGTCCATATCTCTTTTGGTGTTTTCATATTTTTTTATAGGTTATATAAACGGTCAGATAATGAATTTAGAATATAACCTCGACAAATTAGTTCATTTTCTTCACGTTTGCTTCTTGTTGCCTTAATAGTATTAGAATCTTCAGGAGTTGGTTTTGGAATTGGTTTCAAATTTAGATCAAGTACATAAAACATCTTCAATGCTATCAATAGAAAACCATTTTGTCCTTCCACCTAGTGTAGTTTGATTAATTAAAACGATCAAGTTTGATTACATCTTGATTTTGAAAATGAACCTTCATGCTTGATTCTAAATCCATAGCAGTAGTAGGGATAATAGTAGATGTAGTATCCATAATTGCCTTTAAATTGTTAGTAGATTTAAGAAAAACAGAAATAGTAAGAAAGAAGAAAATATGACTTTGAGGCATGAATAACACTGTATTAACGACAATTATGCCTATAGGATACAACAAAGCCTTGAAACTCTATAAATCAGAAGTAGTAAAATTGGTCAGGTAGAAAGATTTATTTATAATAAATGAACAGTCATTAATCAAACCAATTCAAAAAGTCTTGACTTTTTGTATAGTCATATTTTATTGTTTAAATAAACTTTATTTAAACAATCATGTCTTTTACTGTTCAAGCATATTTATTCGGAATCAATAATATTTTGAAATAAATAATAATAATAATAATAATAATAATAATAATAAAGATTTAAAAATTAAATCTATTTGCCAAACAAGCCCAAGTGCCCATCTTTGACTTTTAAAATTATCCAACCCATTAAGAAAACTCCTAGCAAGCCTAAATGACTTGGCCCACTCCAACACTTAGCTCAATTACTTAAATAATATAAGTAATTTCTTTTAAACCATTTATAAGTGATCTTTCTACTCAATATGAGATACATCACATTCTAAACTATCAACAACTCCCCATTAGTTTGGAATGTTGGTGCTTAATCTTTAACCTTTTACATAAATAAATATTATGAATATAAGAATGTATCTTTTGATTTAAACCTTCAATTAGCGTATATAACTTAGAATTCTAACAAATTTGATAGTGTCCGCAGATTAAACCTCAACGCCTAATGTTAAAATTGAAGATGTAACACACATAATATTTATTTAATATTCTATCAGAGGTTTATAATCGCTTTAGTACTATTATGGCCATGTGCTTATCTTTATTCATAAACATTTACAAGAAAATTTTCAATTTTCTTGTTGAAGTGGCACCACTTCTATATTTATATAGGTGGAGTTTCTTATTTATGTCTCCATTGTTATAGACATTTGATTATTAACTCCATTAAAAGTTCAATCTCATCCTCCATTTACGCAATGACTTACATTAGTATTCCAAATATATAGAATGGGTTGACTAGTGTTAGAGACACATAACAATAATTTGTTATTACCTATTTAAACTTTGCAATTAGAGGTTACTAATTCAAAATTAGGTTCCCATTATCGGTGTCTAAAAAAATTTTTAAACCCAATTCATTTGTGGTGCTTCTTACCAAATTTCTAGTTAGCGCCTTGGTAAGAGGATCTGCTAAGTTTTTAGTAGATTTAGCATATATGATGGTAATTACCCTATTTTTTTTTTTTATCAATTCTCTGATATAATCATGTCTTAGACTAATATGTCTAGATTTTCCATTATAAATTTCACTATAAGCTCTAGACATAGTAGATTCATTATCATAGTACAAGGAAATGGTTGTCATTGGTTGTGGCCACAACTCTATATCCATTAATAAATTTCTTAGCCATTCAACTTCCTTGCCTGCTACAGCTAAAGCTATAAATTCAGATTCCATAGTTAAATGTGAAATGCAAGTTTGTTTCTTGGATGCCCAACTAATTGCACCACCTCCAAGGGTAAACATTCATCCTGAAGTAGATTTATTATCACTTATACTAGTGATCCAACTTGCATTTGAATATCCTTCAAAAACAGTTGGATCTGCGGAATAAAATAAGCCAAAATCTTTAGTTCTTTTAAGATAACCTAGAACTCTTCCTATGACTTTCCAATGACTTATATTAGGCTTACTTGTATATCTCGATAACTTACAAATAGCAAAAGCTATATTTGGCCTAGTACAATGCATAGCATACATAATACTTCCAATAGCACTAGCATATTCAAGTTGTGCATCTTTGACTTTTAAAATTGTCCAACCCATTAGGAAAACTCCTAGCAAGTCCAAATGATTTGGCCTACTCTAACACTTAGCTTAATTACTTAAATTATATAAGTAATTTCTTTTAAACAATTTATAAGTGATCTTTCTACTCAATGTGAGATACATCACATTTTAAACTACCAACACCATTCCAATGGAACATTTTAATTCTATTTTAATTGAAAATATAAACTCCAAATTCAATCTGAAATAAAATAATATTGATACGTGTGGAGTTCTCACACTAAACAAAAAAATATATGAAAGAAGTTTATTAATGTAAAACATATCCTATAAATTTTTGTGAAGTTTCAAATAAATCAAGGCCAGATTTAACTTTTGTTTTAATCCCAAAATGAATCTGTCTTTGCTTACCACCGTCACTTTCGGCCAAAATTCTTTCATAAAATTGTGAAATAAAATCTTAAGATTGTTAGAACATGGGTTAGAAAAATTATAAAAAATTAAGGATAAATTTTATGATATGTAACAGTATCATTTTTAAAAAAATGTTATTCACTCTAACCACTTAATTAATTAGTATACAAAAGAGTTACTGATAATAAATTTCGAAAATACAATGAAACTTTATAATTGATTATATTTTATATTAATGAAATCAATCCACTAATCAATTCACCAACATAAGAATAGAATTATTTGATTTGGTTATAAAAAATTTGCGAAGCTTTTTCTAGCTTTTGTTTAATGTGCAACAATGTATCAATTTACATGATAGCTTCTATATCTTAATAAAAATCAAAAGAATTTATTTATAATTAAATAAAAATCTCTTTACACAAATATACCTATCCATAAATATACTTATACAATACCATTCTTTATAAAACATAACTTTTCGTAAATAATTATATCTTTAAAAAATATAACCCATTCACAGTCATATATTAATTCATAAGATATATTATTTCCAAAATGTTCAAGACACAAGCAATGCGGCAAATGATTGTTTACCAGTTGCTAACAGCAAGAAAGGTTGTGTTGGACAAGCCCTTAATGCAAAATTAACAATCAAGACCCAGCAAAGGGATACGGCAGAGAGGACACTCTTGTTTTTTGAACAGCCATTGGACAATGCAGTCGCGATGGAAGATGTGCAAGCAAGGTAGACGAATGATTTTGGAACCGAAGGTCAGACCCTCCAAGCAGACAGCACATCGTCCATCCTCCGCGTCCTTCGAAAGCGTGAGGATCTCCAACTCCCGGACGATGTCGACTTCCACCACAATATTAGCTTTAGTGCTCCGAACAACGCGGCCAGTACAATTTAAATTAATCGTCTGACGGCAGAACTCCCCATATGTTTCGCCTCTGTACCTTTGAGGAATTCCGGGTGTTCCTAAAAGTTCGTGGATATGCTGGAAATAATTACACGAGTACCGGACTTTCTTCAAGGTTATGCCCTCTTTTCTAGCCGAACCTTCGGACGTTGGCGGACACAGTCTAACAAGCTTTCTTATTTGTACTGTAAATAAAACGCCGATAGACAACTTTGGACCTTGCTGCGGTGGGGGCGGTGACAGCAAGTTGTCGCAAGGGGCACAATCGTCGTCAATCCATGTGATGGATTTGAAGGCGTTGCATGATCGGAGACTTTGTATCAGGGATACTTTCCTTTTTGGCCATTAATCTAGGATGGTTCAAACTTTCAAAATACTACTTCTTGCCCTCAGGGGCCAGGGCTTAAACTAACCTTCTCAAAAGATTTAAAGAGAACAAAGATTTAGATGGTAAAACTCCCTGCACAGAGGATATATATATATATATATATATATATATATATATATATATATATATATTTAACAATTCCTATTTGGATTTGGATTAGAAATAGGCCCTTCGAGTATGCCAAAATTTTTTACTTGAACTCTTATTCCTTTATGGGATATCAAAGGCAAAATTGTAATTTTGCTTAGTCTAAGATGGTCGTGGGAGTTCCAGCTACTTATAGAAGAATATACAGCGTGCATTGTTCAGATCAAACTAGTACACCTACAAAATTACGGACTCATCAACTACAAACGCTTGAATGCCTTCTCCACTTTTCCCTTCTTCCCAGTTCTCACCTCTTTAATTTTTCAACAAAATTTAAACTATTTGAAACATAAAAAGTTATATATATATATATATATATATATAATAATTGTATATACCACCAGTCAGCAGATTTGTTCATTCCATCCATCCGACCAAGAAAAGGCTATCCACATGAGTCAAGTACTGCTGAATGATGCACTGGCCATGATTGTCTGACCAAGTTTCTACCCTAAAAAGGAAAAGAAAGAACAATTAAATTGGAATAGGAGATGGTTTATATATCGAAAAGATGGTATGTATAAGCCAAAGGATCAACTGGAACATGCACAAAGGTTCATGTAAACATCGTTGCTTGCCTTGAATGCAAACCAGCCAATTTCTCCACTTGATGATTTGGTGTTGTCTATAATTTTCTATGCCATCTTCATTGTGTCGTAAGGAAGATTATAAGCAAGGTTACTTGCATACTAATGATGACTCTCCATAAGCTCAACAAGAGTTATCTTTCCGCAATTGCCGGCATCCAGCCTGTCAAACTTCTCACTGATCTGCATAATGTCTTTTTCTGATACCTTTCCCATCTCCTTGAGCTTGTATATGACAAACTCTGATTTGCTGCACATATAATCTGACATTAATACTCAACAATGAATCAACTAAACTACAAACTAATTCATGATAAATGAACAGAAACTAACAATATTGAAACATAAAGAAACTGGTATACAAATTACTGAGAACATTTTAAGAAATATAACGTATGAGGATAATGAAACAGCATAAAGCTAAACTATATCCAGTATCCAGATCTAGTCAATGATGTAGCACCTTAAGCTCTTCAATCATTGTTACATTATTGTAGGCTTTCCCACTCAAGTCCCACTAAGCAGCAAATGACATGTATGTAAGATAGGAAATAAATCGGGTTTTCTATCTGGTGAGCAACAAGCAGACAATCAGAAGATTATAATCTTACAACAACAAACACCTTAATGAACCAGAGACTCAATTAAGCATATAACAACAACAATAAACTAAGCCTTATAACCCATAACTCAGGGGTCGGCCTTATAACCCATAACTCAGGGGTCGGCTGTATGAAAGGCCAATAGGTCATAGTTTTGAATTTTGTTGCACCACTCATTTCTATAAAAACAACATTTTCATCTACTTTCTCACTCAATTACCTATCATAGAAAAAAAAAAAAAAAGAGGGGAAAGTACCCCAATATATACAAAATCATTGCATTATCGAAAGCAACTACAAACTGGTCTTGGTTATAATCATCTACACCCATGTTTACAGACCTACCACGCAAAGCAAATCAAAGAGAGCAGCTGCGGCATCTAAATTGTGCACACAAGATGAGACACATGATTTGCATAGCAAAATATGAATCAATTCCAATAAATAGGCCTTGAAATAAAATCCACTTCCAATTTGAGACACATTATGCATTAGAAGTGTCGTGAGAATCTGTTATTTGAAAAATTAAGCAATTGGATAAATATTGACACATGAGAAGCACGAAATTGATCATGACTCCAAATATTAGTTCTTCAAGCTTTCATTAAATACGTTTGTCCACAACCTTTAAATTGAAATAAACCTAAAATCTATTTTTCGAACACAATAAAATGTCAACTTATGAACTAAAAAGACTACAGCGAAATACATTGTCAGAATTAGGATATTAACCTTTCAGGTATTATTGCCTTGATCAATAAGCTTCAAGCATTCAACTACTTGAAACTTAACACGATGGAGATGCACAATTAGAGTACTAACCAAATTTTATAAAATAGCTTACCTCACAAAACCATTGTTGTCAATGTCAGCAGCAAGAAACTCAGAGATAGTCATGTCCTGACCAAGCACCCACTTTGCCATCCTCCTATGCCTCTTATCCACTCTAGCCTCAGCCAAATACAGAAATGCTCGAGCAACAGCCAGAGTTGAAACAAGCAACCAAATAGCAGCAAAAACCCGACCAGGCAATGTCATAAACGCCGCATCACCGTACCCAACAGTAGTAACCGACATAACAGAAAGGTAAAAAGCATCCAACCACCCAAGATTCTCAACAAAATGCATAACACCAACACCAATTCCAATACAAAGAACCACAACTCCTAATGCCAGTCCCACCTTCATTCTTATCCTCATTCTCCCCTTTTTCACATCAATTATATAAGATCTCGCCGAGTCCTTTTTTTGAACCTCTTGTTGAACAGTTCTCAACAAATAATTCTCTTGCAAATCAAGTACATAACTAACCATCCCACTAAGCAAAATATCAATAAAACCAAATCCAACCAACACAAATAATATTGAAAACAACTTGGTAGCCACGCTATTAGGGGTAATATCACCATATCCAATCGTGCACATTGTGACAACACAAAAATACAGTCCATCAACAACAGGGTGAGTTTCATGACCCACAAATTTATGACGATTAAACCAATATATAACAACACCCAAAGACAAATATAACACTAAAAGAACAAAAGCTTGTCTTACAATCGATTGGGAACCAAGTTGAGGCTTGGGAATTGAAGGATGGATGAAATCATTTAAAACTGCCATGGCAGGTGCCGTTTTGCACCTGTGAAGATTGGTTTTTTCCCATGTGAAATTTGGGTCTATTAACCATGAAGATGTTCCGGGTGAATTTTGTTGGTTTTGTTGCAAAAGCGGGTCTTGAAGATTTATAACGTTTTCTTGAGAAGAAGAAGAAGAGGACGGTTTGGATGAGTGAAGGGATGGAGTTAAGGCATCAAGGATTGGAGATGATTCAATTGGAGAAGAGGAAGAAGAATGAGACGGGCCAAATATGATTCTATCTTTTAATTCTGAAGGGGTTAAAGGGACGGGGAGAGAGACTTCATCGTTTTCTGGAAGAGGAAAGAGAGGTGGCGGTGGCGTAATTCTCTTCCTGGGACTTACGTACGGAAGCCAAGGATCATTTTCCATATGAAAATCGTCTGGGAAAACAAAAAGAAATAGAAAAAAGGGATGCAGATTTTGGGAATATCGATTGGGTTGTGAAATGTGAAGAGAGAGACGAGACAACGAGGCTGTGGTACGAATATAAAGTGGAAGGATATAATAGAAAAAAAAAAAGAAGCGAACAAGACCAGGATCAGAGTTTTTCAAGTACATCCGTATAAGCAAATAAAGAAATTGCACGTGTAATTGTGTCTTATGTGTAGAACATGGACGACAAACAGTAAGAGAGAGAGAGAATGGGGCGTGTTTTGTTTTGGGAGTCTTATTTTAAGTGAAACAAAACTTCTTTTAATCTCGTCTCATGATAGACGTGGATTTAGGAAAAGCAATATGATCAAGGCACGCGCTGTTGAAGAAGCGCGTGTGACTGTGTAAAAGCCGTCAATCAAGGGGGACTTTTGATCAGGCCACACTGCCAACCAGTGGCATGTGAAAGCTGTTCCTTTGTTTGGTTTATAAATTTATTTCAAGAATTGATTAATCATAAATGAATAATTAGTTGCGAATAGACGGTAGAAGCCTCAGCTTTGTCTGCTTTAGATAATGGAAGCCAAAAGTATCCCCGAAATATGGACTTCGATAAATTATTGTACATTTTTTCGAAAAGTTTCATGACGAGGGGAAGCTTTTTTATATCACGCAGGAGTATAACTTACGTAAGCTTGATTTTACGAACCATCACAGTTCCGCTACAGTAAACTTTAACTGCTTTGTAACCGAACCTAAGAATTATTGTTGTATTTTACTAGTTAATGGGACAGCTTTCCTATCATTGTCCACCTTAATGTGCTGTTTAACTATTTAAAGAATAAAGATTAAATACCATTGAACAACTTTATATGCTACTTTGGGTAGCTTAATATTGCAACAAACATACCTCATTCAGCATATTAATTGTTAGAAATATAGGAGAAAGAGGGCAAACAACTACTTTCCAGATGAAGCATCAGTTAGCAAACCTCTGCCTCCAATAATGTTTGAATTAATAGTGCATTTTCACATGACTCTATAGATAGTAATTACGACTAGGTTTATTGCTCAACACAGCATTGCCAAGGTAATACAGTCGAAAATATCAAAAACCCACTAAAAGTGGGTCCAGGAATATACAACCCGCAAAAGAGGCTGAGGCTTTCACATTAGATCTAATCATCATCATCAAGAACACTCCGACGCCTCTGGATCTATAAAATCAGATAAATAATCGAGAAAAATTAAAATACTTCAAACTGTGCCGCGTACATTAAACAAGTAGCAATGTATGATGACTTACTGTGACTTTGGTCTGTTTAGTTGTTTGGGTGTTTATCTGTTCCAGCAGTGATATAAGCCTCTCCTCAGAAACCTTTACATGGGTTCAACCATACAAATTTCAGTTCTTTAGGCTAAGCTACAGATGTGGTACAGAACAATTGCACCCCTTATTAGGCACGCAACAAAAAATAGTAAGACAACAAAGATTTCACCATACCTTCTCAACTATCTGACCCATCTGAGCAGCTCGTAGTATAACATCCTCCACACCTCTAGCCTTCTCAGGTTTCACCAAGGCAATTCGAGCAACTGCACAAGATGTATAGCAGCAAAGAAAATAAATGACAAGGATTATATATAGGAAAAAGGCAGAGCACAATGAGTGTAACCCCGTATCTGTCACCTATGCCTGTCATTAATTAATTGTACTCTTTTTCCTTCATCATATAGTTATCTTCTTCTTGTTTTAAATTCTTTTTTCCTTTACATTCTCTTCTACAGAAGTTCAATGTTCCCACAACTGTCGTAAAGAATGAAAGTCGTGATGTGTCACTCTCCGTTTTGCTGCATGATTATAAAGTCATTCACTTGATGACGGAAATGGGCTATGACCCTTTCAAAGGTGAAGGGCTGTGTAGAGGAAGGGGTGAGAAAAAACCATTTGAACACATGTTAACCCTATAACAAAAATGGGTCTTGCATCATGATGGAGAACTTAAAGCCGGAACTTGCGGTTTGGGTTATCAAGCAAGCATTCACATGGTAGCAATTCAAGAAGGCAGCTCATTGGAAAAAAAGTCCTAAATCCCATGAACTGATAAGAGTTCAGTGTGCTCCCCCGCAACTAGAAGATGGTGGTCAGGCAACGGTTGGCAAGGCTTCTAAACTCTATTCAACTCAGATTTTCACAACTTTATATTCACAAATCTCACACTACATAACTCAAATCTAATCTGTGCCTTGATCATCAAAGAGAACAGATCAAATTCAGTTTTTGACAAGCAAGATGATTAGGAAATCAAGAAATTCCCTGGTACCCTAACATCTTTTCCTTGTGGGATTTCCAATTGTATGCCTTCCACAATTTTTTAAACTCCATACACAAATTAGGTCTTTTTAATATAAATAAATACTAGTAATTAGCACGCTTCTCCATGCTTTCTAAAGAATAAGTTCACTATTCACAACCATAATGACAAACACAGACATTATTAGACAAAGTAAACTAAATTCAAAGATTTAAGAGCGCATTTATATATCATGAATATAGAATGTAACATTAAACTTCATAATCAAATAAGATAACTTAGAAGAGTAAAGAATTCCTTGAAAGAATCCACATATGAACAAACATATAAGCAATTAACAGCAGGTTTCTTTAATCAACTTAAATGGTGAATTGAGATACAAACTTACGTCTTTCACGTGCTTCAGTGGACAAAATCTGACTGAGCATCATTTGCCTCCGTTCATCTGCCTCCCTAAATTAAAGGCGTGTAATTGTCAAACTGATTATTTAATTTTATCTCAAAAAAATTTCTTAAAACATTTATGGCTTAGAAACAATAAGCATTTACAAGAAACTGACCTCTTGGCATCTTCCTGAGCTGTCTGCTGTTCAGGGTTCTGTTGATTCCCCTGTTTATCAATAAGTTCTAATTAGTACCATTAAATTAAAAGTACAAGCAAGCCAAATTAGAAATTCTTTAATAGAAAAGAATTCCTATAAATTAAAATGAAAAGACATAGATTACCACTCCATGTTGAGCCATTAGCTCTTGCATCCTTCTCTGTCTAATTGCTTCTAGTTCAGGATCAGCCTACAAAATTACAAAAATTTAAAATCCTAGAGTTCCAAAGACATCAAGAAGGGTAACTTAACCTACTTACAAGAGACCTTTGCTATTACAGAGAATCAGCATTTAAGAATGAACGAATTAACCCAAATCTATTTCCACTATCTTTTATTAAATTATAATTCGACTATTATTAAACCCAAAAAAAATTGGAAGCTCTAACAAATCAAGTATAAATGGAATATTAAAGTTCTAACTAAGAAAACAAAAAATCGAAGGGCTGAAACCCTAATGAGATGTTTGGTTGCTGAGAAATTTAGTAAGAAAAGAAAGGAAAATGGAAAAGAATACCATGGATTCGAGAGTATTTCGATCTCCTCCTCCAAAAAGCAGGTTAACGCCTTCTTCACCGGTGAGGGAAAAGAGGGAAAGTGAGTAATACTTTCTAGTGTTTGAGATTACAGCAGGATTTGGCTTCAGCTTTAGCTTCAGCAAGACGCGATCTGTGTTTTTCAACTTAAGCCCTTCCTCCGCTGGCGGGCCCCATGGCGGTAATCCGACTTTCCTTTAATTTTGGTCATTTAAATTATTAACCAAAAAAAAGGGGCCATTGGGTTGGGCTTGAATGGGCTCAGGTTGAGTCGTACTCCAGGCCAACTACCTAACTCTTTAGAGAGATAATCCAACTTGACCCAATTCTTTAAAAACGTAAATTTTCAAAATTATTTTGTTAAATTAAATCAATGAAAATGATCGAATGTAGAGGATTCTAACCTGTTTCATTAGGGTATATTTTAAAAATTAATATACATAAAAGGAAAAACGACGCCGTTTGAATTTCTATGTTATTTTAGGGATAAAAAGTAACGAAGACATCTGATCTTTCTAATTCTACGTACAAGAGGGTGAGGGTGAGGGTGACAGCTCGCCAAATCCTGGTAGAGTATTATTTTTGGTAAAACAATATAAACTCTCCATGAAATTGCTTTAACAAAACCAATCCTGATTTCACGTGCCTAGTAATGCCCAAGTGCCCAGCCACAGCCAGCCCCGTTTTTTGCAGTCACTGGCTCTTGATCTGACCCGTTCAAATTGCAACAAACACCTTTTCCTTTCCGCTTGGATTCTTTCTATATCCGGATTTGATTTGCAATTTACTCGACGATTCCATCATTTTTTATTTTTCTTTTTCAGTGACTGATGAGGGATGACCCCACTTGATTCTATCAAACGGTTCATATTCAATCTCCTAGATCAAATCTGAACCCCACGCCAAGAATGTTGTGTCAATCCACATTTAACCAAAACTCAAACAGTTAAAGCAGGATTATCTTCTTACATTCATTAGTCCTCTCGATGCCAAAGGATATGTAAGAACGATCCAAGTAACTGAGAAGTGAGCTGAGAATTGATGAACTAAACCAGTAAAACTCCAAAATCAAGGCCAAAGAAAGAAGCGGACAAAAACCCAAGAATGAAAGAATCCTAGTAAGAAGAAGTAGCAAGGAGGAAGACCAGAAGCAATGGGTTTCACCATGGGCTTGAACTTCCTCCTTCTCTTAGCCATGGTGGCGACTAATATCCTCTCCCTTTACCACCTCTCTTCCACCGTCCAATCTCCCAATCCTCCTTCGCCTACCCCTATCCCTGACCACCTCCTACGCCAGCTGAACACCATACGCGCCACCATCAATCACCTCACACGCCACAACCCATCCGCCGCATCTAAATCCACACCCACCGTACCTCAAGATCTCGTCCTCCACTCCCAAATCGGCCCCATTGCTTCTTCCTGCCACAGCCACCCTGACCTTCTCCATAGATACATGAATTACACTCCTTTTTCAATCTGCCCTTATGATCTGACCTCCAAGAAACCCTTATTCTCAATGGCTGCCACCCACTTCCACGTCGGCGTTGCTTCTCAAAAACCCCATCAAAAACCCTTCCGCTCTTCCTTTAAACCCTTTCGCAGCTTCCCTCCCTGACTCCTCTGTTATCTGGAACAAATACTTGTGTAAATCGTTTGCCTGTCTTTCACAAAACAATCCCGTAGGCTTCGATCTCAACGCTCTACGCTCTTCACTGCTAAAATACGCTTCTGAACTCGATCTCCCCGTTAACCAGTTCATGCAATTGGCTAAGTCAGCTAATTCAGTGATCCGTCTTGGCATTGACATAGGTGGTGGAACTGGAACCTTCGCTGCTATAATGAAAAAATTCTACAATGTTACGATGCTGACCACCACCATGAACGTCAATGCACCTTACAATGAAGCGTAGCTTTAAGAGGGTTGGTGGCCTTTACACGTGCCGTTGCAGCAAGAGGTTGCCCGTTTTCGACGGAACGATGGAGTGGTTCGGTGTGGGAAGGGCGGTGACAGGTGAGTACCTGTGTCGTGATGGAGTTTATGTTTTATGATGTGGGATAGAGTGCTTGAGAGGAGGAGGGTATTTGTGGGTGGATCGGTTCTTTAGTAAAGGAGTGGATCTGGAGAAAGTTTATGAACCACTAATTGGGAAGCTTGGGTATAAGAAAGTGAAGTGGGCAGTTACCAATAAAACTGATCCAAGTGGTTTGAAGAATGGGGAAGTTTATTTGACTGCTTTATTGCAAAAGCCTGTTTCAAAATGATGACGGGAATTGAGGATTCATTGAATTTTTGAGGTAATTCCTTTCACAGTTTGGTACTAGTAGCTTTGGGTGAATTTGTTTTGTTTTTGAGAAATATGGAAAAACTTAACTTATTGCTGCATTTTTATTGCATTTCTGGGTTAGTTGGTTATTTGATCTGAGATGAAGCTGAGGCATATTCATTATATATTAATAATGACATGATCATAGTAGTTGAAGACTTGAAGTGAATTTTTGTTGTTTTTCTTGATTCACCTTGAGGATATGGTCTTCTACTTATATGTTTTGATTTCTCAGCATTTGCATTTGATCTTGTATTAAATTCAACAGTCGCTTTTTTTTCTTTTTGTGAATTTCTTCTGATTTGGTCTGGATTTGTTGCTACAAGTGATCAGAATTGTTGTCTTAACATGTGAGAAGGCCTTTGATTACAAGCACCTGAAGAGGGTACCCAATTCTATACACTATAGCAATTTGTATTTGATCTAAGGATACAGCATAAATCCACTTCTTTTCATTGTTTGCATAATGTCTTCTTTCCACCCTATCTGATGTTGACTCTTTGAAACCTGAATGGTCCTTTGGATTTTCACACTGTTGAAGTTTTACCTTTGCCTCTTGACTCTAAACTTCATCTAAAATCGTTTGAATTGGCTTTGTTCCCACAATCGAAAACCAAAAGCATGCTCCCAGTACAACTAAGATTATAATGATCTGATCTTGTTACCAGAGTTGAGTATAATATAATCGGGAGTTTGAATAATTACGTTCCGAGAATGGAGTTTTCTTGTTTGAAAATTGAATTGTGTATCTAGTGTCAAGATGGAAAGGCTTACTGGCATATGAACTGAATAAAGCAATCATTTGACATATAGTATATGCATTGGTTCATGCTAGATTAAGCTTTTAACACATTTATCTGTACTATAAACGCATATCATGTGGGAGGCTAAATGCATCTAGTTACATTTTATCAGTTCCTTTTTCTGATTGTAACCAGTGAATTTCCAATGTTTTTTTTTTTTCAGATATTGATGTCAGATCAGAATTGCTTGAATGCCGGAAACGTCCCACCACCTTTCCAAAGATTAACGTTTGCAGCCGAAAAGCTGGAAGAAAGCCTTTGCTCGAGTAACAAAAGCAACTAATGTGGCTTACGATTTCAGCAGCTTTTTAATGTTGTAAAGATTGTTGATGTCCAAAATATTTTATAGGAAGCGGAAAGTGTTGTAAAATCACAATGTTCTGTCGGAAAACGTGGTCAAAGTGGCCCTCGTTCATTCAACTGTATAACCTGTGGCCATCTACACATAAATCTGGAGAACAGATCTCAAAATAATGGAGTAATACCATATATATATTTTTGTTTGCGTTAGCAGCAAATGTGCGAGGATGATGAAAAACTTACTTGAAAAAGAGGGCTTTCTTTGTGTAATGTGTTGAGAAGCATGAATTCCTCCCAGGATGCTAGAAAGTTTTAGTTTGAGATGTGATTTCACAAAGTGGGCCCTGAAATGGTGACCTCGTTAATGATCCATTCAGATCAGTTCAGTTAAAAGTGAGCGACAACTTATCGACCCCAAATGGATAGTTGGATACGGCTAACCACTCCTCGACCCATGATTGTGATCAAGATGTAATACAATTGCTCCCAAGTTATTTAAATTTAATTCAATTATTGTCAAACACTTTAATTTATCAAAAAAATCAAATTTGAACACCTTAAAACTTCACTCCAATAACTTATAAATTTAATTAAAATTTTATGTTTTAATATATATTTATTATTTTAATTAAATAATTACTATCGTATCATTACATATATTAATTTGAGTTCAAAATTAAACACAAATAATCAAACTTAAAGTCAACATAAAATTAAATTTATTTTTTATTCAGTAAACAAATTTAATTTTTATTTTAAATTAAATTTAAATTTAAAAATTAAAATTCAATCAAATTCAAATTGAATTTTTAAATTTTTTAACAACAAATTTTGAGTTAAACTTGAATTTTTTATTGTACCAACTCAGATTGGACTTCTAATTTGATATTAAAAAAAAAAAAAAAAGAAATCTATAAAGATGCCGCCCTGCCCTTCAGTCTTCAGTCTTCCGTCCAGTTTTTTTTTTTTTTTTTAAATATATATTTATCTGATTTTACAAATTGATTTCGGAAGAGGAATCCTGGGTTCTTATAATTAAATCTGTTTCTTTATAAAATATCTACATATTAACGACCAAGAGAATCATCCAGGAACCAGTCCCACCGGTCAGAATGCAGCAGATGATTTCCATGCATGAGTCCAACAATGCAGCCAGGTTTCCAACATGGATAGAAGTTGATAGGCATTTCAACCAGCCAACAGGCTTAATCAAGGCTTCCGAAATCCAACATAAGATGAGGATCTCATTTGGAGGAAAGGGTAGACTAATGCAAAAACCAAAAATTGTTAGTACTCCCATCTTTGGAAACTCGTTAATTCTGTAAAAAAAATTAAAATGGGGAACTGGCAAGTAGCATATGCTACATTTAATTATCTTTGTAGAATCCTCAAAAGAAAAAAAAAAGTCAAAATTTAATAGAACAAAGCATTAGCCATGTTACAGATCTTGACCAAAAACATTTAAAATAATGAAAGAAGTCGCATAACACAGTTGTTACGGACTTGTAAGTTTCAACAAGTGAAAACATCTCTATTTTGCAGATAGTTTAACGTTCCATGGAGCTTGCAAAATTCTGTTGACCTTTCAAGGAGTATTAACCTTCTTTCTAAGGAGGTGGTGCAGGTCAATCACATTGATCTTGGCGGCAAGTATGAAGTCATTTTCTGTCAGTCCACCTGTGTAGGAGGAATTATCACGCTTGAATTATGATTTCAAAGACATTAGCAGTATACAAGTTAACGAAGAAATACAAACCTTAGCTCCGGCACACTTTAGATAAAATTTGCCAGCTCTATTTAAATAGTACAAAAAGTATTGATCAAACTTAATAGAATGCCTTGCAACTTATCCAAGAATTGGAGAAGTTCTGCTTCTCTTCGTGCAGGATAAGTAAAACCTTGGTGTTTCATGAATGAAGAAATAATAAATAGAAATCATCCTTATCAGAATAGTCTATAAAAGTAAAAATGCCGAACAAGTGAAAACAGACAAAAAGGAAAAGAGGCAAAAACGAAGAACAGAGGATGAGAGTATTTCCATGGACAAGATAATTCTTACCAACTGCATGTGTCCATATTTCAACTGTTACATTGTTCCATCCGACAAGATGCAGATCCGGATGATGGCCTGCATTAACCACAACACTTTCACTCATCCAAGCAAAGACCAAAATCCCCAAGTAAGTCAATTACAAAGTCATTATCTCCCATTAGAGATCAGTACAGTGTAAAAGAATAGCGCAAAGTACCTTCTGCTTCAGCAATATCAGCTACAAGTTGAAACAACTCCAATCCTTTGATGAAACTCTTCACTTTCCAAGACCTTCTTAGCTTCAATGTACCACCTTCGTTTACCAAACTCCAACCATCTACCTGATCAAACTTAAACAGTAAAGAATTTTGGTATATGTAATGAGGAAAATCAATAAACATTTTAAAACATACCTTTGGAATCAGTTTACTAGCACTTTCTTCAGTCATGGGCCGTACATCCTTTGAGTTGCATGGCACACACTTTCTAGTCAACAAATCTAACAAGGCCAATAAACCACATCAGACAACAAGAGCTATCCATTATGATCAAATCTAATTTTATAAAAAAAATCAGACACTAATGATGGCAAAAATGTAGTACACAAACAGGCAAACCAAAAAGTGAGGAAACGAAAAGTAACCATGTATCAGCCAACACTACAAGTTTAATCCCGTAACAAATAATAATACCTCACCCAAAAAAAAAAGAAAAAAGAAAGGATTGCCACAAGAAAAAGTCTTTTTTTAAAAAGGAAATCGACCAACTTAATCACACCTCACATAGCCAGTTTATCCCTCCATCATCTGCCAATGAAGTTCAAGTCTACTTTCTTAAACTCTGCATATTCAAGATAAAGCATAAGATCATATGGGGAGGCAAGAGAAAAGGATACTTTATGCCCCAAGCAAAGAAATAGTGCTATGAAGCATGGACGGGAAGGGAAAATGTCAAGAGACTCTTAGCGTGCAAAAGAAAATGATTTAATTTCTACAATAAAAAAAATCACAAAATAATAGATTATACAGATATTTCAAAGAAAATGTCATAATAAGAACTAAATTTAACCACTGAACTGAATTGTATCATTTTGCTTCAACTTCCCATGTAAGACTAATGAAAAAGCACTTTGTTTCACAAAATATAGTATCTTAAGTTCTCAACATTGCAAAGCCTCACTTAAACCTTTATCACCAACCATTTCAAAACTATTAACAATCCATTTTCCAGAATAAGATGGTTAAAATGCCCTAAGTTTGCCTCTTCAAAAGAGCAGTTATCAAATCAGACTTCAAAAAAGGTCAGTGATGGAGGTCTTAAATCATAGGCAAAATGCTTTATGCCATCAACATCATAAGATGGTCTACGGTCATAACGCACCCTTATCAGTGCCAGTGCAAAACGTTCTGAATCCATAAACCCAGATCTTGTTTGACGAAATTCCAGTACGATCACGAAGAATCTCAGTCACTTGTGCACCGGAACTGCATAAAAAGGATAAAATACATATTCATACAATAAAATTCTCTAGGAGCAGATTAAACAAATTACTTTAATTATCGATTTTCATTACTATTGTTCCAATATTACACAATCAATAGAATAAATTCATATCAACAAAATGTAAACAAAAAAAAAAAGGAAAACCGAATGTAATGTTCATGCTCATAATCAGCAAGAAAGATTCAATTTTTAATAAAAAAATATAATTTCAGGAAAATTACCGTCCGCGAGGTCCAAAAACGATTTGAAACGAAACGAGAGGGACCTGAAAAAAAATTAAAAGCAGAAAATTGGATGGAAAATGAAGAGAAAGTGAGTTTTGAATGGATGAGTTGGTACCTGAGGTTTGGAGAGTGACAGAAGAGGAGTCCGTAACATTCGCACGATCATTTGGCCGATCTTGACCGTGCTTCGGTTTCAATTTCAAGCCAAAAAACGAAACAAATCCCCCAAAAAAGTCGTACAATTTCGAAAGAAAGAAAAGCCTGAATTGCGAATATTTGGATTATCTAGAGGCTTAAAATGAAAAAAAATTGCCCCTGATGGTGTCAAATTGTAAAAGTACTTGGAGAATTACCACTTTAATTGAATAAGTATAAAGAATTGGGAAAAAACATAAATATAGAAAATTAAGATGCAGTTAAACAAATAATCATAATATGGTGGTAATTATAATAAATTACTTTTATATTTTATACCAATTCCCCCCTCGTCCCGTTGTTTATCGTTGTAGTCACAAACTCAGAAAATAATAAAACGCTCACGGTCACAGCTCAGAAGACCATCTGTCAAACAAAAGTCCGATCTTTGCCGAGAAAATTTTGCCAAGCAAGGAAAGAAATGGTCAACTTTCTTTCTCTATTTCAACTATGCAGTCTTTCAATTTTGCATTACAAGAACCCTTAAGAATTTTTTTTTTTCTAATTTGTGTTTTAAAGATCTGCGTTGGCTATGTTCAGTTATCTCCAGGGCAGATCTACAGTTATTCACCTTGCATTTGAATTTAATTTCCTTTATAATTTTTATTTTTCTAAGAGTTAGATTCAGATCCAAGCTTTTTCTTTTTAAGAAAAATTCATTGGTTCTGTTGTTTGTAGGAGTTATGCCCTTCAATTAAAAACATCCTTCTTTTGGATTCCGAAGGGAAACGTATAGCTGTGAAGTATTATTCAGATGACTGGCCAACGAATTCTGCAAAGGAAGCCTATGAGAAAGCTGTATTTACCAAAACCCAAAAGACTAATGCCCGAACCGAAGGTAAATTAGGCTTTGCACCATGTTTTTTCTGTTAATGCTTCCTTACATTTCGTTTGATTTGATTGTTTACATGTAAATCATATAGATTTATTACGAAGGTTGACCAATGGTGAGTGAATCAATTCATTGAATTTGAGAATTTAAAAGGTTGGTTTCTTGTGGATAAAGGTTCAAATTCGCTATGAGGTCGTAGGAAGATAATTTTTTATGAATTTATTAGGCCCAATGTAGATAAACCTCTTCGGCCGGCTCTCCCGCTCGGAGAGGGGAATGTAGGAAAAAAGGCTTTACCTTGTTTTTACGCTGGTCAATGAGAACTTCCTGGGTTGACATTGGTTTAGTTGTTGTTTCATATTGCTGTTTTAACATGATGCTTTTGTTTTTTCTTTACAGCGGAGATAACAATGTTTGAGAATTATATTGTTGTGTACAAGTTCGTTCAAGACCTTCACTTTTTTGTTACTGGAGGCGAAAATGAGAATGAGATGATCTTGGCCACAGTCCTGCAGGGATTTTTTGACGCAGTTGGAATTCTCCTTAGGTTTTTTCATTATACTTTCTACTATTAACATCTTTTGATACATGTTTGTGTGATATCATTATGCCTAATTTGGCTTTTCCCCTTGTATTCACTACCCCTTGTTCTAGAGGCACTGTGGACAAGAAGGAGGCACTGGAGAACTTAGATCTTATTTTGTTGTGCCTTGATGAGATTGTTGATGGCGGGTATGAATTATCATTCATTGTACTGTTGTAGTTGAAGTTGAATTCAGTTTCATGAATCTCTGAGTAGACATTTTTCTTTGCTTGTATGGTTATTTAAAGTGTCTCTGCTACATTTCTTGCTTGGAAATGTCTCTTAATTCTTCGTGCCCCCACCCATGAATACTCTAGGTTAAACATCTGGCTGGCTCTGCACTAATCACACAGTTTATCCTGTAATGATGTAGCTGATAATGGAGGCTGAAGAGAAAAAAACATAAGAAGACTAGAATTTAGATTTTTCTTCACTTATGTTTGGATGCATTGGATGGGGAAAGAAATGGACAGAAATTAGGATATCGAACCAAGGGAAAAGGAAGATAAGGGGAGTGAGCAACTGTCCCCTTAGGATGCTTGTCTTATCATCCTGTTTGACTTTTTTTTTTTTTTGTATGGGCAGTATCATTCTTGAAACTGATGCAAATGTTGTCGCTGGGAAGGTTGCTAATCATAGTCTGGATGCTGGAGCTCCTTTGTCTGAGCAGGTATTATGAACCTTGTTCTTTAAACAAGCAACACTTCATCTTTTTCATTCTTCATCTGATTATCCCCTTGAAAGCAGAAGTGAATTCTTTAACTAGTGAAATATCAATAACTGTTGCCACCTTATTAACGCATTTGGCGTTGTACAGACGATAACTCAAGCATTGGCTACTGCACGTGAACATCTCACAAGATCTCTCCTCAAGTAATGTGTTCACCAGACTCGAGAGAAGTCGGACCATATATCCTTTTGTAATGGCACCATACCTGATGTGCTTCAGATGATATTTTGAGTCTATTTTGAGATCTATAGAAATGCTTATACTTCTGATGTTCTTGCAAGGTTGCTTTCTTCATATTAGTGAGTTATGATACAATAAAATTTTATCACCAAGCATACAGGCATTGTCTCAGTTTTTCGGACCCCATTGCATCCAACGAGTAAAGCATTTGGAATCTGGGATAAAAATGAATTGTACATATGTGCTACAAAATTTATCCCCTTTCACTTTAACTCTTCTGCAATCCATAGCTAGCAGTCTGATGCTAACAAATGGTTCACATTATATACTTGAGCAGTCGTATCGTGTTATTGGATGAGAACATAATCTGCATCATCAAGTAAAGCATCTCCAGCAGTTGGAGTCAAGTTATTCCGATAAGTACTTTTACGAACCTGGGCATGAGCTTCTGCCTCATGTTGGAACATTTTAACCAGCTCTTGTAACTCTAACTTCCTAACCTGCACCTGCTCTTCATCGACAGGCTTTTTCAATCCAAGATAAAGTAAGCCAATCACAATTAGCACAATTCCTATGATGATGAGGATGGCTGAAAATAAACCAAATGCAAATGGTGTATCCTCTGCTCCAGGGATCCCATCAACATTGATACCAAACAGCCCAGTGATGATAGAAAGAACAAGGCCACAACCCCCAAAAACAGCCAAATTATGAGTTACTCTAAGGCTTCTGTCCTGCATCAATTAATTAATATTAGGCAAAGAAAGCTATCAAATCACTCCGGAACGAGGTACAAGAACGTGATGGGCAGGGAAATTAATGAAACTCATTTTGTTTTCTGTTTTGTCTATGGATGCAAACCTGCAACCATGCACGAACAGTGCTTTGCATAACATCTTGAATTGTAAACAAACGGCCACGAACTGCTTCTTGCTCTTCAATCATTTCTCTTGTGCTCTTTCTTATTCCTTCCAGCAAGGTTCTTGCTGTATTCCCCCCCAAATGTTGTAGAAGCTCGAAAACAATCTCCTCTCTTGCATGGAGTGACCATTTCACTCTGATAACCTGAAATGGTAAAAGACAAAATTCATGAACATGCACTGCAGAAACCATGTAAGACTTCTACATGCTCATGCTTACCGTAGGGTTGCAGACTTATAGTACATTTCACATGAACAGGATGTGAATTTATGGGTTAAAGGACTAGAAAGACTTATAATTAGAGGTTTGAATTTCCAAGCAAATACAATTATACAAAATACGTATACAGATCACACTATGTAGCTGACCAGACAATATGCATGAAAATCAGTGCCAATATTTAGAAAGTGCAACTTCAGTATCAGAATAAATTTAGTAACTAAGCTTTATCCTGAAAGCAGTTACGAGCTCTCAAATTTCCACCCAGACAGAACAGACTATTCAACCCAACCACTTTAGACACGTTTTACAAATAGAATGCAAGAATTGTACATTAGCAAGTAACTATACTTGCTTCTAAAAGACCTCCGTTATACAAAGGAACTTGGCATTGTAAAAGATTGTATGCCTCTTAAATTTGCATTACTTCAACTTCTTTGCAAGCTGAAGTTGATAATCAACCGGTCAGAAATATCTCTAAGAGTATGCAATTTAGAATATTAAGATGTTATCAAAATCCACCACACACGCTAATAATATTTTTCCCATTATGATGATGTATTTTGTTCCAGTGAAGGAAAGTAGCATACCTGCCTTGATAATCTTCTGATTTCTTGGTTCAAAATAATCGCAAAAAGATTCATGTCCTCATGGTTTCTCCTATTCACAAAAAAACTATTTTTCACTAACATTACCTATACATGAAAATATCATAAAATCCTTGTTAAGAAAAAGTTCTATGGTTTTAAAAGAAAGAACCTGTTCATAAACTTCAATTCAATCTCATCTGCTGCACCAAAGATGGATTTACGAAACAACCTTATGTAGTTAAATAGTTAAACAGAAACCATAAGTTAGTTTAAGAACCACATAATTGTGCATATATAGTGATAATATGTGTCATGCAACTTACAAACCCTTCATCGCACCAAATGTAAATAAACTACTTTCATACAGAAATGCAACCATGACAGTTTACTTCCAATGAGTTTTGAATTGATGAAATTGAAGTCTTTGTTCATTTAAAATTATTGACTTACTGAAATTTTCAATCAATATAATGATATGTACCAATTAACATCCTTTCAAACATCCACTGATGCACATATTAGTCTATGACATAAGAAGAGAAAAAAGGTATCGTGTCAACAAAATGAAATATTTGGAATGGTCATCTGATACTTAGCAATGATAGAACTCAAGAATGAGGTGCAAAATGCGTGTCAATATTTGCCCAATCCATCCATTCATACAAACAATATGTAGGTTATTAAAACAAAAACCTCACTTAAAATCCAAAAAAGTGACAGACCAGAGCTTGATATGTCTGCCTCAGACAACTGAGGTCAATCACATCCATTCACATTAAAAGGACGGAACAATAGATGGAAGAGTTAAGCTGAAAATTAACAAGTTAAACCACCTGTCATCCCACCGTGTAAGGCGGCAAGCTAGATATGCTATGACTTCATGAACTGTTCTAGGCACGTTATGACCTCCAGCAGCAAGAACCTCCTGACCAAAAGGTATGAACCAATAATCAAGTGACATTATTAGCTTGTATGTGTATTATATGAATGCAACTTTGTCACCACGGAGTCAATTAGGGTTTGTCAAAAAATGAACAACCTGAACTTCTGTTATTCCCAGAACATTTACTCCAGATACATTCCCTTTTATGTGCAGTACAGTTAGGAGATAGTTTTGTGCTTGCCAAGAACGAAGTACAACAGGGATGTCATCTTCCTCAACAAATGGATCTCCAGCTGATTGTCCCAATAGCTCAAATAACAGCCCTCCAGCCACCCTAACTGGGACCTTTATAAATGATAAAATGCACAATCAATTATCCAACAAAACCAAAGACCAGAAAGGAGCCAGTAGGGAGGTGTCATCTGATATCCGATACACTAATTATCATGTTTGTCCAGAAGCGTAAGAAAAAAAACTTATCTCTTAACAAACAAAATAACAAAATGTTAAACGGGATATAGCAATTAAAACAAAATGTTAAACTTTCCTCTCAACTGCTACAATTTAACACTCTATCACCATTTAATTAACACTTGACCGAATCAAATAGTGCATAACTCAATTTTAACTTAAAACTTGTTAAAACGAGATTTAGTGGGTGCAATTAAACTTTACCAACAGAATGGCATGGACCATTACCTCATATAGAAGGTGCTTCATCCGCTCACTTATCAGTTTGCTTTCATCTCTCAAAGCTAGACTGACAGCAGGATGTAACCATTGAGCATTGTTGAGCCAAGCCATAACAGAGGGGTGACCAGCAGCCAAATGGCACCACCATATGGGTCCTGCAGGGCGCTCCCAATAGGGAGCTGCTAAATCTGCAACAGTTAAATCGTATTCATTACCCATCAATTCAAACTGTTGTGAAGCCCAGCCAGCATTGACTTGCACAGTTTTGACAAGATCTGAAATTCTTTCCCACCCGATGGGTACCCAACAACTTCCATCAAATCTTTCATTAGCATGAAACTGGCCTGATTGAAGGCTGTGGCCATCTTTGTATTCATCAAAAGAAGCAGCCACGCTATCCCTTGACTCATAACTCAAAGAGGACTCCATTAATTTCTGTCCTTCCAATCCTGGAGAAGAAGACTCAGTTAGTCTATTGGCTGGCATTTGCACCTTCAAATATTCATCATCTGATTGTTTGCCTTGGACCCTTGAACCATATTTTGAGTTCATTGGTTTCTTATGGCCTCGAATAAATTCAAAAGCACAAATCAGCCCATCTGTCCAAAGATCACTTCCAGGCATGACATCTCTACTGGGAATATCCTTATGTCTTTCAGGCATTTTCATTTTATTCTTTTGAAAAACCGAGCGGTCCCCTTTCTCACTTATGATCCGTTCCGTCTATAAACATCCAAGGGAAAGAACCAACATCAGCTAACATTCCGACCATTAATAATAATCTAGTCGAAGATAGTTGAACTACTTAAACTTACTAAACTGTCTTTAAGCTAACTCCTAGCCACCATCTAGTTTCCAAAACAACTACACTGTGTGCTCAAGTAATCGGAAAACTTAAAGCTGACATAACAAACTGCTGAATTAGACACAAGCAGTTTGTTTTATCAATCAAAGTAAGCCGCTCTATACACTGTAAAATAATAATTTCCATGGTACTTTTATTGCTAGTGGAGGTAATGAAAATGGAATATGGAAGATTAAAATATTTAACAAGAAAACCACTAAAAACAAATAAAAACAAAACGATTACCTCAAGATGAGACACTGCTTGACAGCCTTGTTTTCTTTTCTTTTTTCGATGAGGAAAAAGCCGGATCTAAGTGAGTGTGAATTATAGTCGTAATAAAGGGAACAGGGACAAGAATAATTGAGTGCGCCAGCCAACAAATAAGAAGAAAAACAATTTGCTGGAAGATTTGAGAGGCGGATAAAGGGCAAGTGGCTGATTCTGGGTTGGGCTTAACTCTCCATTGGAAAGCAGAAATCAGAAGCCCACTTAAGGTTCGAACAGCCTAAAGGAAGAAAAACTGCAACTTTTGTGAACCAAATGCTTATTAAGCCCAAATATATATATATATATATGAAAATTTTTTTGATTTGTAGCTTCTATTAAAGAAAGTTAGAAGGTTATTACATATTGTTTCAAGGTATAGTAATTTATTTTGATTAACTCAATTACATTTATGAATTATAAAAATTTATTTAGTTCATCTAAGCTAGAATTTTTTAATTCTACCAATAAATTTAAAAGGTGACACAAAATTCATCAAAGTATATTTTAAAAAAATTTAATAAATAAATATAATAAAAAAACACATGTTAATATTTAAACATTTCTGAATTTAAATTTATATTATAAATTTATTATTTTTAAACAAAATTGAGTTCTTTTTAACTGAAACAAACATAAATAAGATAAAATTAATGAAACAATTTTGAGTTAATTGGATATGTTTCCCTTTCTTTTTCTTTAACAATATATTGTTGATTGGATGTTTGAATTTTTTAGAACGAATTTTTAAGAATTTTGTGTTTTTTTATGATGCTTTTTTGGATACATCTATGCGTGTGTGTATGTATGTGTGTGTGTATATATATATATATATATAAAATATGTTTTATTGTGTTATAAGTACTTATGTACTTGTATTTATAATTATATATATAAAAAAATCATTCATGCATCCCACGGTTCACTAACCCATATCCTCGTGTATCTATAAAATTGAAGCAAATAAATGAGATATAACACGAGATGCATGCTAGATGTAAATGACCTAAGCTCATAGTTTTAGTAGGAAAAATAATCTAGTCTTTGACTTGGTTAGGTTCTCTAGCTTAGAAGGTTCAAAATCAATAGAAGGACAAATTCACGACATCTTTAATTGATGCGTGATGCCCATTGTTGTGGCATTGAACACCAGCTGCTACTTAAAATAACAATGGTGGATTAGAAAATGCCGATAAAATCGCTTTAGCAAGCTGCAGTGGGAGATTATTCTTTCGGCCTGGATCCTAAAAGACAAGGCTAATATCTTTTTCTAGATTTATAAGATTCCTCAAACTTGCTCTAAGATAAAAGTTTTGTTGTTTCAGGAACTAATTATAATGTACTCTCAAAGTATAAAATAGGTGAAAAGTCATGCCAAAAACAGGAAACAGATTGAAAGCGAAAGTTTCTTAATGGTAAGAGTAGGAGAAACTGAATGCATTATTTATTATGCAATGAGTCCAACGAGCCAGGAGGGACTGAAGGTGACTTCATACTTATCAACACCAACCAGGATTTGACCTATAAATAAGCGGCAAAACCAATTCGCTTTCAATTGGATTACAGACCAGTCCCTTCCTCTCATCTCTTTTCTTTCCTTGGCTTGATCATTTCCGGCACTCCTGATTTTAGGCATGGCTAAAGCACAACAAATACAACTCCACGTCATGGGTAAGTGCTCTCCAGTCTCCACTTTCCATAAATATACATACTTTGAAAGATTATCAAAACTAACTCGTTATACAGATAGATAGAGATCTTAATAGCATAACCATCTCCACCCAATTGCTAGATGACATTGCTGCTTCCGCAACAGGAATGGAGTAGTGCAGCAGATAACCTAATTATTAATAATTTAAAAGAATTGTAAATGCCACAAATGACTTCTTTTTTCTGTACAATGTTTTGTGTCTGTTAAAAGTTGAACTAAATGGTTCATTAATTTCCACCTTTTATATGCCAGACCTAGAAGCTAAAGGAGCAAATTCAAGTATGGGACCTGTCAGCGAAAGAAGAGATTTTCGACCTCATCAGAGCTACATGATCAGGTGGCTCCGGTTAGCCCTCTACACAATCTTTGTCATATGTGGCCAAACAACGGCTACACTGCTTACAAACTTTACTTTGAGCGAGGTGGAACCAGCAAATGGGTGGGAACACTTGTTCAAGTTGTAGGTTTCCCTATTATCCTTCCTTACTACTTGATTTCACAACGTAAAGTTATGTGCACGCCAAACAGTACTACTGCTGCTGTCAAAACAGAATCATCATCTCTCCTATTGATCGTTTGCGCCTACACCTTGGACTACTTTCAACAGGAAATGCGTATCTTTATTCAGTTGGCTTTCAGTACCTCCCTGTATCGACGGTGGCACTGATTTCAGTATCCCAGTTGGCTTTTAATGCTTTCTTCTCTTATTTCCTCAATTCACAGAAGTTCACTCCTTTCATCATCAATTCTCTATTGCTTATCACCATTTCCTCCGTTCTCCTGGTAGCAAATAATAGCTCTGAAAGGCCTCCTGGAGTCTATAATGGAAAGTATGTACTTGGGTTCATATGCCCTTTCTTTGGAACAGCAACGTATGGCTTATCACTTGCTTCCCAACAGCTGGCATTTCGGAAGGTTCTAAAGAGGCAGTCATTTAAAGTTGTCATGGATCTTATAATCTTCCAATCACTTGTTGCATCCATTGCTACATCGATAGGATTCTTCGCATCCGGAGATTGGAAACTCTTAAAGACAGAAATGGATGGATATGCACTGGGGAAGGTTTCCTATGTCATTACTCTGCTTTGGACGGCTGTTGCTTGGCAGGTTTTCATTTTTGGTGGTGTAGCGTTGGTCTTCGAGTTGTCTGCTCTTTTTTCCAATGTCATAGCTGCACTGGGATTGCCAATTACTCCAATAGCAGCCATTTTCGTTTTCCATGACAAAATGAGCGCTCTGAAGGGAATATCTATGGTCTTGGCTATTTGGGGTTTCGGTTCCTACGCCTATCAGCACTACCTTGACGAGCGTGAGTTGAAAGCTGAAACTACAAGAGGGAATGAAGTTTCTGAGGCTTGACGCTCCTTCAGGCTACCTTGTCTATCAAAGAAATTAAGGCCATTGTCCGTCTTTATATAATTATCATATTTTTCTTTGTTATCGTGATTGAGGAAGCCTCCATGGTTTTCAAGTTGGAATTATTTTCAGATTATTTTCCATTAAGAATTGGATTAATAAAAGTGATTGTCATGGTATGAATTAATTTGCTGTACAGGGCTTTCCTTTTCATATGTTTGTTAGTACCATCTGGACGTAAAAACAGTGATATAATTAGGACAGGTACGTACCAAATCTTTTTTTAACAAATTAATGGAGATTCCTTACACCAATCAATCAACTAGTTAAATCATAGTTGGTAAGTGGTATATATACAACAAAACAACATTTTCTACATAAATTAAAATAATGTTCTTTGAAAGGGTGATCATTAATCATCCTTGAGTTTCATGTTTGTTTCTCTGAATAGATGATCAAGGGACTGGGCTTGGGGGCAGAGACACTCGTCCGATCCTCTCTCACAAGGATAACAAATCCATGACGAATTTATAGATTCACCCTCAGCTGTCAGTATTTGACTATAAACTATCTTTATTAAATTGATGAAAAAAATCAAAGAATCCTGCAAAACTCTCTTGACGATATGTTTCAGGAAAGCATGCTGTAGGGTTAAAGATTGGTGCTTCCTTATGATTGCTTGCTATAGCATTGGTTCTTCACCTCTCCAATGTGTTAAACCTAAGACTGAGAGCAGTTTCAGCATTTTCTAGCCTTGCTCGGCCCAATGTATTTACTCAAAGTCAAACCTTAAATCCTCCCAACACTTTTTATTTAATGTTGAGCCCTAGAGCTCTAAAGTCTACCTTTCATTTAAATGAGTATAAAATCAGAATTGGTTATGGCCCAGGACCACAAGTTATGCCTTTTTTACCTAACCACAAGCTCGGAATCTCTGAAAATCCAAATTTATGGAAGTTGAAGCCAATGTGATTGATGCATTTGGGATTGCCAATTGCTCCAATAGCAGCCATGCTCATTCAGTCGTTTTCCACGGCAAAATGAGTGGTATAAAGAGCATATCCATCGCGAGTTGAATGTTGAAACCAAAAAAAAAAAAAAAAAGGGTGTGATTTTTCTGAGTCTTGACGCTCATCCAAGCTAGCTTGAAATTAAGACTTTAAATAATCTTCTTTATGCTATGTCCAGTGTTTTGGAGCTATCCTGTATAGTATTTTTTGCTTTGCCAATTCCCGATTGAGAAGCCTTCATGGTTTTCCTGTTTCCAAGCAATAATGGAAGCTGTAATTATTTTTTATCTGGTATTGGAGTAGTGACTGTGGTGTTATTATGAATTTGCTATATGCGCTTCTCTTTTTCGTAGTGCTAGAATGCTGCCCGCCTGTGAGGTCATTTTTTTTTAAATATTAAATTAAATATTAATATTTATTCAAAAATATTAACCGTATTAATTTTAAATAAAATATAATTATTTTAAAATATTAAATTTTATATACTTAATTTATAAGAGAAAATTTTCAATATATAAATTTCGATTTTCAAATTTATTTTTTATTTGATATTTTTAATGAAATTTTTTTCGAATTTCACTTCAATAAACTTTACCTAAATCTTGTCTCAATGGTTAACCTGCCTCCACTAAAAAAGTCAGCAAAAAATAGGAGTAATTCATTAAAAACTGGTTGGATAACATTGTTCTACAAGTGGCATATGCATTAGTGAATATAAAACACACAAACAATCTCAATCATGATTGAGTTTCACGTTTTTCGTAAAATGTATCATGTGATCAAGGAATATGGTTTGGTTTGGTTGGGGTCAAAGCAGTAATGAAGAAATAGAAGAAAATCTGTCAAAAATTCTATGGGTGATCATTAATTGATGTGTGTTGTCAATTGTTTTTGCCATTGTATACCTGAAAATATTTTTTAATAACAATGGCGGATAAAAATAAAGCCTCTAAAATTGTATAGCTGCATTGTAGAACTTGGTAGATCATTCTGCATGCATGGAGGCTAGAAGTCAAAGCAGATCTCTTTTTCTAGATTTATGTTCTGTTTTTGGGCTTCAGCCCTTAGAGAGTAGTTCAATATTTTACGTAAGGTTTTCATGCCTTGTTTTTTTCTTTTCTTTTCTTTTTTCAGGGGATTTCTCATGAAAAGAAAAAAAGAATTGATTCTTCAAACTTGCCCTGTGATGTCTCAGTCAAGTATTTGCAGCCATATATAGAAATGGAATTTGTGAGAAAAGGTTTTGTTCTTAATTTCAGGAACTAATTGCAATGAGAAAATTAGTTGAAAACTCATGCCAAGAACAGGAAATAGATTGACACGACAGCTTCCTAATTCAGAAACTGTAGCAATATTATTTATTACGCAATGAGACCAACGAGCTGTCAGGGTCTGAGGTGACTCACCGTTATCATCACCATCCTGGATTTGATCTATAAATAAGTGGCAAAAGGCATTTGCTTTGACTCGAATTACAATCCCTTTCTCTGATCATCTCTTTCTCTCCTTCGCTTCATCTACTTATCTGGCACTCCTTTTAGGCATGGCTGAAGCTCAACAAATACAGGTCCCCGTCAAGGGTATAAGTGCTCACCCATTTCCATACATACTTTGAAAGATTATCTAAGAAGCATGACAATAATGGGTTTTTTTTTTCTTTCTTTACTTAAAAGAGTTCTATTGATCAAAACTATAGCTTATTATACAGATAGAGATCTTAATAGTAACAACGCCTGCAGCCATATTTGCTAGATAAAATTGCTGTTTCTGCAACAGGGATTTACCATTTCTGGAATGGAGTAGTGCAGCTTATCTAACTATTAATCATTTGGTTAATTAGCACATTTCTGTTAAAAGTAGAGTAAATAGTTTACTAACTATCCTTTTATGCATGCCAGAAGCTAAAGGGGAAAATTCAAGTACTGGACCTGTCAGCCAAAGAACAATGTCTGGACCAGCTCAGAACTACATGATCAGGATGCTACGGATAGCCCTCTACACAATCTTTGTCCTCTGCGGCCAAACATCAGCTTCACTGCTTACAAGACTTTACTATGAGAAAGGTGGAACTAGCACATGGGTGGAAACAATTGTTCAAGTTGTAGGTTTCCCTATTCTCCTTCCTTACTACTTCATTTCACAACCCAAAGTTATGTGCTCGTCCAACGATACTACTACTGCTGTCGGAACAAAGCCATCATCACTCCTATTGCTCGTTTGCGTCTATGTATACCTTGGGCTACTTTCGGCAGGAAATTCGTATCTGTATTCAGTTGGCTTTCAGTACCTCCCTGTATCTATGGTGGTCCTAATCTCAGCAACCCAGTTGGCCTTTAACGCTTTCTTCTCTTATTTCCTCAATTCACAGAAGTTCACTCCTTTCATCATCAATTCTCTATTTCTTCTCACCATTTCCTCCGTTCTCCTGGTAGCAAATAATAGCTCTGAAAGGCCTCCTGGAGTCTCTATTAGAAACTATGTACTTGGGTTCATATGCACCATTTTTGCAACTGCAACGAGTGGCTTGTCGCTTGCTTCCCAACAGCTGGTCTTTCGGAAGGTTCTAAAGAGGCAGTCATTTAAAGTTGTCATGGATCTTATAATCTTCCAATCACTTGTTGCATCCATTGCTACATCGATAGGATTCTTCGCATCCGGAGATTGGAAACTTTTAAAGACAGAAATGGATGGATATGCACTGGGGAAGGTTTCCTATGTCATGACTCTGGTTTGGACCGCTGTTGCTTGGCAGGTTTTCATTTTTGGTGGTGTAGCATTGGTCTTCGAGTTGTCTGCTCTTTTTTCCAATGTCATCGCTGCACTGGGATTGCCAATTACTCCAATAGCAGCCATTTTCATTTTCCATGACAAAATGAGCGCTCCGAAGGGAATATCTATGGTGTTGGCTATTTGGGGCGTCATTTCTTATGCCTATCAGCAGTACCTTGACGATCGCCAGTTGAATACTGAAACTAAAAGGGTCAGTGAAGTTTCTGAAGTTTGACTTTCATTCAGGTTAGCTTTGCATCAAGGAAATTAATTAAGGTCAGTGTCCATCTTAATCTCTATAATCTTGTTTTTGCTTTGTGAAATGGTTTGAAGCTAATTTGTATAGGCATATTATGTTATCATATTTTGTTTGCTATGGTGAATTCGTGTTTGAGAAGCCTTTCATGGCTTCCCAATTGTAATAATGGAAGCTATCATTATTATTAAATGTAATAGTAATGTAATTATGTAATATTGAGTATTACGACATTATAATTATAATAATATATGACGATATCGCATATATTATATTTAAATAATATAAGTATGGTTTGGGACCACAAAAGCAGTTTCGTGAATGGTCTCTCGTTTTGATGGTCAAACTTATTATTATTAGTAGAATGGTATATAAAGAAGCTGGCTTCGACGAACTCCACCTGGAGACAATGCTTAAGATAAGAACAGAACGTGTCTAACATTCTGTTGGTGCCGAGCCCCGGCCTAGGGGCGTTCTTGAAAAGATAAAAGGAAAAGAAAATAATGGTTAGAGGGAAAGATAACGAGTGTTTTTACGTTTATATTTTGATGCGCAAGCTAGAAAGGCTTAAATAAAAAAGAAAGTAAGAAAGAGAAAAATTAGGTAGGATCAATTTGCTTAATGATGTTTGGACCTTTACAATTATAGGTAAATTATGAGAGATAATAAGAACAGTACTGAGCTAACGTGGCACTGAAAATGTCATATCAACCTAATAACTTAGGTCGACACAAATAATAAAAATACTCTTAATTACTTATTGAAGGCTTCAAAGAAGGAAAAAGATCTTTTTGACCACCAAATGTCCCTAATACTCTGTCTTCCCACCAAGTGGTTTGAGTATCAGACTGTCGAAGGTATAATCGATGTCCTCAGTGTAAGATGGATTGGCAAAAGGAAATAACTTGGAAACTTAAGTCTTTGAGGTCGACACTATAAATGGAGGACAGCATTAGAAGATAGCAAGCTCTGAGCCGTGGTCCAATCTTATGGTTGCCTGATCTCGCGCGTGTCTCAGGTTGAGTGCATAGCCAACTGAAAGGTTACCGAGGTGATAATTGTTTGGAATGATTCGAGATTAGTATTGGAGTTCATCTGGCCATGGTGAAACTTGTATTTTATTTCAAAATCTTGGCTTTAGGCCTCCACTTTGAACCTTAATAGTGAACCGAGCTTTTAGTTTGCCTTGGATAGTCACTCGATTCATTCAGTCTAACTTGAGGGTTTGTCCAATTAGGTTGGTCTAATAGCATTAAATGAAGAGAGAGGTAGTCTGAGCAAGTGGATTTAAAGCGGGGAAACAAAAAGACATATTCCTACCTTTGCTCTGACACATGGCACAATCTGTGCCATTCATCTGGTCTATGATGTGTATATATAAAGAGTCGTCAGGGCTTCAATTTTCACCTTTTCGCTTTCTTTGCTCTTGATTCAACCTAAGTTTTCTTATCTCAAAAGCTTTCTAACCTTTAAAGTTTTTTCACACCTTCTTTGGTACATTTTCTTAACCATGAGTTTTGGAGAGGCCGAAAGTTATTGAATAGAACCTATGAGAGGTTAGCGCAGGTAGCAAGAGGGTTATCTAATCCCAGCAATTATCAAGGGCCGTAATTATGAAAAGATGGCTTATTGGTTTAATCCAATGTCCAAAAAAAGGCAACGATGAAATGAAGAAAATGTTCGAACAAGAAGAGAACGAGTTTTGAGCACGAAAGAGCTATATGCTCAAATCTACCTCTTTTTTTTTCTTTCAGGTCGGTCCATCTTCTATGGCCGATCTTCTTTCATCTTCTCTTTTTTTGGGTTTGATCTCATCAACCCTTTTCTTTTTCTGTTCTCCTTCCTATCCATGCTCCTATTATTACTTTCATCCCTCATTCATCAATTTAGTTGATATCTTTTCCTCTTTTAAGGGATCTTTACCTCATTTTTCTTCCTCCAAGATTGAGTTGCTTTCATTTGCTTCTCTTTTTTAAAATCCTACTACTATTTAAAAGTCTTCTGACGATAAAGATTCTGACAAAAAAAGTTTCAAGAAAGACAAAGGGGATAAGAGTATCTCAGTCAGAAGAAATGATGGTGGGAAAGAAAGCACTGTAATGGAAGATAAACTCGTTGAGGTCCCTATATATACTTCATGTGACCTCAACATTATCTTCAAGGATGTGATAAGCGAATTAAATTGTAGGGCAAATCCTGAGGACTACCTTAACATGTGTTCAACTTACCATGTTTGTGCTCTGGGTACAACTTTTTTTTTTCAAAAAAGGGTATAATATAATAATATCAAACTTCTTAGATCAGGTCACTGATAGACTAAAGCCACATTAGCTTTACATGTATTAGGACTCCTTTGTAACCGGTCTAAGGTTACCACTTTATTCCTTATTTGTTTCGATTTTTAATTCTTATAATTTGACTAATACTTAGCTCACTCTTAACTCTATATGGTACATAGTAACCTTATTCATTCTTTGTTAACACTTAAACATTCTTTTTTCTCTCCCTCTATTTAGGAAATTATTTTCTCTCAAGAAACATCCCAGCGATAGCAGGCGATATTATATAATAGCTCAATCAAATAAAAAGCTTCTTGTCGATTGCCTGAGCTTAATAAAAAATTAAAAGCTGTTCTTCTTTTGCCTTGAGAAGCAAAGGATAAATAAAGATAGTGAGCCCGAGGTTGAGGCTTGAGAACTAAAGAGCATGCCCAGATTTTTTATAAACGCACAGGTGGAATTCTCTATCCTATATCTATTAGATCGAAATAAAATTTTAGAATATAACAGCAAGGGAAAGGTCGTCATTGATACCCATGAACTAACCTTTTCAAAAGTAATAAAGGATAAAGTATTGGATAGGTTTGAGGTAACCTCATAAGATTTTATTTTAACTTATTTTTTATCTAATGTTAGCTTGATTTTGCAAAGATGGCCAGCAAACTTCAAGCATACCAATACGCTTTCAAGCCTAAGAGAAGCAAAAAAAAAAAAAAAAATACAGCTTGAAGCCCATATCGGGGGAGAGACAAGATGAACAACACGTCGCTGTGCTATTTTTTCATAGGACAAAAGACTAATGTCAAGGTAGGTTGAGACCTATCCTCGACCTCAACACCAATACCATATTCTCCTGTCAAAAGATCATGTATGGAAGCTACTTTCTCCACCTTGAAAAACCTTTGAAGCTAGGGTTTTAAGGCCTAGCTTGGAAAAAATCTCTACTAGCTTTGAATACACTCATGATGATGACCCTATCATGAGCTTGACCATGGTAAGAGATTCACTAAAGTTACGATCCCTTATTTTGGTAAGTATTGGTGTGACTTTAACTCAATCTTATTAATGTTTGTAATTTTGCCAAGTTAAAGGTCTTTCTGTGCAAATCAACAAAAAATTTTCTCTTAGCCCCTGGATAATGCTAGTGAAACCCTTCACCATGCTTACATCATGATGGCTCACTTACTAAAGGTTGAGAAAACATGACTGCCTTGGTCGAGAAGCACAATAAGAGCTCAGACTCACTGAGTAATGTTTGATCTAGTTTCAGTGCATCCCATAAAAAAAAGCTAAATAAAAAAAAAGAATTGATAACCTAATAGTAAAGCTAGAGATCATCTTGATTGACAAAGCCTCAGCTAACTCAATAATGGAATAAATCGAGCTCAAACTCAATGATGCTTAGGTTGAGATAGCCAAGGTTAGGTCGAAGCTCGAAACCAAGGAAAAAAGGAAAGAAAACCAAAAAAAAAAATGTGAAAAAGTTCAAGGCCTCTAATGAGTGCCTCAAAATAAATGTAGAGTTTTTTAGGAAGAATGCTCTTCGTGTCTTCTAATTGGCTAAGAATGAGGTGCAATTCAAATTCTTCACTCTGAACTTTGACCTCTCCAATATTGACATCAACAATATCATATTAAAGACTTGTCCAAATTAGTCCAATGATGATAAGGATGAGAATAGAAGGATAAGGATAAAAAAGGCAAGGCCTTAGAGGTCGAGTTGGAGGCAGCTCTGAGGCTTAAGGATGAGGTATTGAAGGCCAAGAAGGTTGAGGTTGTTGTTGCTAACCTTGCTGCTGCTCCTATTGATGAGGGTTCTACCCTTACCACTGCTACTGAAGTTATTGAAAAATAATTCTTTTGATGTTTTATTTTTTAATTTTTGTAATTTTTTGTTAATGTATGATGTCAATTTTTTTTAACGACCTTGAATAAGGTAACTGAACTTGTGTAATTAAAGGGAATAAAATAGAAAAAATAATTTTGTTCTGTTTAAGTTTTAGCTCGATTCTGTCATTTTTTTTAGCATGATTAACTGAATTGAGCATGGATACCTGAACTGAGGATTTATCTAATCACTTGATCAAATTATCTTAAAAACCCAACTAAGTTCTAAGTTAAATTTCCTTAGATCGCTTAGACTAAGCTCACTAAATGATTTAACTTGTGTGTTTAAGTACAATAAAATACAAATATGAGCTCAATTTAGAATCGAGCTACTAGTAATAAACCTTTAAGTTATATGTGTTCCACATTCTTGGGATGATTTTGTCGTTCAGATCTTATAATTTATAGGTCATGTCATTAATGATCTCTTTAACAATATATGGTCCTTCTCATGTTAGGGCTAATTTGCTACCTCGATCATCTACTTTTGAAGTTTCAACTTTTTTAAATTCCAAGTCACCATTTTCAATGTGCTTACGTCAAACCATTTTATTATAATAGTTGGCCATCTTTTGCTGATAAACTATTTTCCATGTTAAGGCTCTGTTTCTTTATTTTTTGACAAGGTTAAGGTTGGCTCTAAGCATTTTTTTATTTTTTTCTTTTGACGCCAGGTTAACTCTTAAGCTTGGTAGATCAATCTCAACTAATACTTTAGCCTCTATTTCAAATGCTTGATGGAATAGAGTTCCACTAGTGGATACCTTCATGGTCGTCTTCAAGGCCTATAGCACTCCTGGTAGCTCATCGACTTATTTTCCTTTTGTCGCATTGAGTTTCTTCTTCAGAGCTTCTAATATTATCATGTTTATAACTTCGGCCTATCCGTTGGACTGAGGGTAAGCAATCGATGTGAACTTGAGGTTGATATGAAGATTTGAACACCATTCTTTGAACCTTTGGTTTTCAAATTGTTTGCCATTGTCTGTTATTATAGATTGATGTAATCCAAATCTACAAACTATGTTTTTTCACACGAATTTCTCAACTT